AACAGATGACATCACTACCTGTCTGAAGATGCTCCCGCAGAGAGAACACGTCCACTGCAGCCGCAGAGACAACACACACACCACGTGACCTTTGACCTGAGCCAGCACACAGCGCTGCGCCCCGCCCGACGCCCACTCGCCCAAGAGCATCATGGGAGGAGGAGACGGAGCCACACCTGACCTACAGAGAGAAAACGTGAAGCATGAGATAAAATAAGGTTGTTTATTTTCTGCATTACTGTAAATAATGCACTAAATTAATCTGAGAGTTTTGTGTCCATTTGTAAATTTGTGAGAATCCAGAGTCAAACGTTCACATCAGTGTACAAAATATCACTTACTCATCAAAATAACTCATTATTATCATCATCATCTTATAATCACATGTACTCTTTATTCCCATACAATTACGTAACGCAATATTTAAATTCTAAAATTAATTCAATTTTAATTCTACTTCCTCAAAGTTGGCATGATACAAACCGAGCTAAACAACTTCTCTAACAAGAAAAACATTATGCATAAAATAAAGATATGCACAAATAAATCATTCATAATAAATTAACAATATGCAGATCAGTGAAAATGAACGCATAATGCACAAATAAATAATTCACATATGCACAGTAGTGTAAAATAATACAGAATTAATAAAAAAGACAAATCATTCATGAACTAATAGCATGCATATTAGTGTAAACTAATACACTAATGCACAATAATGCATTAAATAATGATATGCACAAAATAAAGCATTCAGAAGCTGGTAATATGCATACTAGTGTAAAATAATACACTAATACACAATAATGCATTAAATAAAGATATGCACAGAAAAATAACGGAGCTCAGTCCCTCACTGTAACCAAACACAGGTGTGTAAATAGTGTGTGACTCGCCTTGAACAGACTGATGTCAGATCAGTGACGCTCACACAGCTGATGGGCAGAGAGCGGCAGTACACGTTACACGCCCTGAAACACACACACACACACACACACACACACACACCATCACTACAGATCAAGTCACATTCATTAGTGTAGCGCTTCTCACAATACTTACTGTTTCAAAGCAGCTTCACCGAAAATCATGATGTTTGTGTTTATAATATCTTAATGCCTAAGAGTTGCATTTAGCAGAGTAGAGCTGGCCAATATTATATTTTGATGATATAAACAATCAAGCAGTTGAGATTTACTATATACTGTAGTATATACAACTTTATGTGATTGCACTGCATGTCCAGTATGTGGGTAAAGTTAGATATGCTAATATATCCAACTTTAGATGCAGAGGTTAGAACCAAACCTGCAAAAAAAAAATAATAATTAAATAAATAATAGAAAACAAAGGAATAAGTGACTTGCTAAAACAAATACAATTGGTTTTTAATTACATTTATATTTTTATATTTATTTACACATGCATTTATTTTAGTGCTGTCAAACGATTAAATCGCATCCAAAATAAAAGTTTTTGTTTACATAATATATGTGTGTGTACTGTGTATGTTTATGTATACATACATACACACTCATACAGAATATATTTTAAAAATATTTACATGTGTATATTTATATTAATATAATTAATATAATGTATAAATATATATAATATATTTTTCTTAAATATATGCATGCATGTGTGTGTATTTATGTATACATAATAAATATACACACACATATATTATGTAAACAAAAACATTTATTTTGGATGCGATTAATTGTTTGACAGCACTAATTTATATATATATATTTAAATATTACATATTAATTTATTTTCTTCAACTTTGTGTTTCTTCTTACATTTCTGTCTCTTGTATGATAATCAGGGCTGGTGCTGCCTATCCTTTGTTTATTGTAGATTAAAGTGTAAATTTAAATAGATAAAAGTCTAAATTGAATTAAAAATGAATGGTATTTGGTCATTTTTTTAATTATTTCATTCGTTTTTTTCTTTTCTTTTTAATGGTTCAGGTCATACTTAGAAGGGAGAGGTTATTATGTGAGTATAGGAGAGCATAAGTCTAAGTGGACGTCCATGACATGCGGAGTCCCACAAGGCTCAATTCTTGCACCGCTCTTGTTTAGCCTGTATATGCTCCCACTAAGTCAAATAATGAGAAGGAACCAATTTGCCTTTCACAGTAATGCTGATGATACCCAGATTTACCTAGCCTTATCTCCAAATGACTACAGCCCCATTGACTCCCTCTGCCAATGCATTGATGAAATTAACAGTTGGATGTGCCAGAACTTTCTTCAGTTAAACAAGGAAAAAACTGAAGTCATTGCATTTGGAAACAAAGATGAAGTTCTCAAGGTGAATGCATACCTTCACTCTAGGGGTCTAACAACTAAAAATCAAGTCAGGAATCTTGGTGTGATTCTGGAAACAGACCTTAGTTTCAGTAGTCATGTCAAAGCAGTAACTAAATCAGCATACTATCATCTCAAAAACATTGCAAGAATTAGAGGTTTTGTTTCCAGGCAAGACTTGGAGAAACTTGTTCATGCCTTTATCACCAGCAGGGTGGACTATTGTAATGGTCTCCTCACCGGCCTTCCCAAGAAGACCATTAGACAGCTGCAGCTCATCCAGAACGCTGCTGCCAGAATTCTGACTAGAACCAGAAAATCTGAGCATATTACACCAGTCCTCAGGTCCTTACACTGGCTTCCAGTTATATTTAGGATTGATTTTAAAGTACTTTTACTCGTTTATAAATCACTCAATGGCCTAGGACCTAAATATATAGCAGATATGCTCACTGAATATAAACCTAACAGACCACTCAGATCATTAGGATCGAGTCAGTTAGAAATACCAAGGGTTCACACAAAACAAGGGGAATGTGCTTTTAGTTATTATGCCACCCGCAGTTGGAATCAGCTTCCAGAAGAGATCAGATGTGCTAAAACATTAGTCACATTTAAATCCAGACTCAAAACTCATCTGTTTAGCTGTGCATGTATTGAATGAGCACTGTGCGATGTCCGAACTGATTGCACTATATTTTATGTATAATAATTTTCTATTCATAACTGTTTTAAATTCATTTTAAACCTCTTAAATCAATTTTAAATAATTTTCAAAGTTTTTAAATTCCTTGTTTTATTTTATTTTATGTAAAGCCCTTTGAATTACCATTGTGTATGAAATGTGTTATATAAATAAACTTGCCTTGCTTTATATTAACGCATTCATTTCATATTTATTAACACATGTATTTATTTCCACATTTAAATCTTATTTATTTATTTTTGTGTTTATTTTTAAATTTCTGTCTCTTGTATGATAATCAGGTGGACTGGTATTAGAATTGATTGATTATAGATTAAGTGTAAATTTAATTGATTTTAAGTCATTTATTAATTAATTTCTTTTCCAATTGTTACATTTATTTATTTAAATTTTTGCAGGTTTGGTCCTCCATAGAGCTGGGTACAGTTAAACCATTTTGCAACAATATAAACAATCACAGATCTGAGATTTGCTATATATCTTGAGTACATAAATCAATGTTAACGAGAGCATCTCAAACTAACTTGGAGACTTTGCGCTGAACGTGATGGACAGAAACCGCGGCTCCGGCGATCAGACCGAGTGTGTACGGACCACACGACAGATCCATATACACATCAATCACATGACCGGGACAATCAGCGTCCTGGACGGTCAAACGCACCCGCAGATCCTGCTCAATGCTTGCATCTGCATATTTACAGAGAAGGAAACATCTGGTATAAACACAGTGACTCAGTCAGCAGATATCTGTAGAGAGAGAAACTGGAGGCGGGGCCAAACCTTCAGCTGCTGTCGGTGATTGGATCTTGGGTTTGGTTCCGTTGTCCTCCTGTAATGTGATTCGCTGAGTAATGATTCCACAGAAGGAGACGATCTCAGGGGCGGAGCTATAAAACAAACAGAGTCACTCAGTGACTGACAGATAATGCTGATGTATTCAGAGCTAAAGATGTGTTTAGTGTGATGATCATCACCTGCTGTGAAGAACTGCTGACACGCTCATGAGCGCAGGAACACCTGACTGAGGACACAGCACAGGTCAAAGGTCACAAACGATCAACATCTGTGTGAGCGTGTGTGTGTGTGTGTGAGTGCGTGAGTGAGTGCGTGAGTGAGTGCGTGAGAGAGCGTGTGTGTGAGTGTGAGAGAGCGTGTGTGTGTGAGTGTGAGAGAGCGTGTGTGTGTGTCTGTGAGTGAGTGTGTGTGTGAGTGAGTGAGTGAGTGAGTGTGTGAGTGAGTGCGTGAGAGAGCGTGTGTGTGTGTGTGAGTGCGTGAGTGAGTGCGTGAGTGAGTGCGTGAGAGAGCGTGTGTGTGTGTGTGAGAGAGTGAGTGTGTGTGTGTGTGTGTGTGTGTGTGTGAGAGTGTGAGCATGTGCGTGTGAGAGCGCGTGTGAGTGTGAGTGAGTGAGTGTGTGCGAGCGCGTGAGTGAGTGAGTGTGTGAGAGAGTGCGTGTGCGAGTGAGAGAGCGTGTGTGTGTGTGTGAGTGAGTGTGTGTATGTGTGTGTGTCTGTGAGTGAGTGAGTGAGTGAGTGTGTGTGTGTGTACGTGTGTCTGTGTGTGTGAGAGAGAGAGAGCGTGTGTGAGTGAGTGTGTGTGTGTGTGTGTGTGTGTGTGAGTGAGTGAGTGAGTGAGTTAGTGTGTGTGCATGTGAGTGTCTGTGTTTGTGAGAGAGCATGTGTGTGTGTGTGAGTGAGTGAGTGAGTGACTGCGTGCGTGCGTCAGTTAGTGTGTGTTTGTTTTTTTGTGTGTGCGAGTGTGTGTGTGTGTGTGTGTGTGTGTGTGTGTGAGCATGTGCGAGTGCATGTGCGTGTGAGAGAGCGTGTGCGAGTGCGTGTGAGTGTGAGTGAGTGAGTGAGTTAGTGAGTGAGTGAGTGTGTGTGTGTGTGTGTGAGTGTGTGTGTGTGTGTGTGTGTGTGTGTGTGTGTGTGAGAGAGCATGTGCGTGTGCGAGTGAGAGAGCGTGTGTGAGTGAGTGCGTGAGTGAGTGAGTGTGTGTATGTATGTGTGTGTGTGTCTGAGTGAGTGAGTGAGAGTGTGTGTGTACCTGTGTGTCTGGCAGCTCTTCGGTGATCGTGTGAATGCGCCACTGCGGCTGCAGCAGGAGGGCGGGGCTACTGAGCTGTGTGACTCCACCCCTCGCTGAAACCACCTTGGCTTTTAACACACTCACATCCTGAGAGAGAGACAGATGTTAAAAGACAGAACTGTGATTGACAGCTGTACCTGTCAGTCAGAAGGTCTCTTCCTGTCAAAGTGGGCGGTTCTTGCTCGGAGTAAACAGACTTTATGCTGATAGTCAGACATCAGACTCTGAGAGACGATGAAGCGGAGTGTGTGTGTGTGTGTGTGTGCGTGTGGTACCTCAGTGTTGCGTGCGATTAATCTGTACACACATCCAGGATGAAGGACGGGGAACCAGCGAACACACGAACCCATGAAGTGCAGCTCAATCTGCAAAACACACAGATTCACATTTCAATCCCATCAGCCTCTTCTAAACTAGACTGACTCATACGTTCTGCTGTTACTCTCAGCTAATGATCTGTTATCAGGTCTGTAATACTCGAAAGAGTCTCCAAAAACCAGATGATCTAAATTTAGCTAGACTTGCTTGCTATTTACCTTTACATAATAATAATAATTATACATATAATAAAACATTAATAGAACATCATGGAACATGATCTTTACTTAATATCCTAATGATTTTTGGCATAAAAGAAAAATGTATAATTTTGACCCATACAATGTATTATTGGCTATTGCTACAAATATACCCGTGCTACTTATGCTCCAGGGACACACATGTTCTAAAGATGCCAGCTGGACTCTCAGTGTTTGATGGTGTGCTGCTGACCTTCTGAGTGTCTCGGTGTCGCTCGTGCTCCTGCGTCCGGTGGTTTTTGGGGTCGTGGCTCCAGCGCTGAGCGTCTCCCAGACACACGGCTCTGCAGACGAAGCCGTTCTGCAGCGTCACGCCCTGCTTGGACTCCAGTCTGAGCAGCAAACTCACGCACGCCGCAGGGGTCAGAGGTCGCTCAGGCACTCTGGGTCTCTTAGCGCTCTCTCGGTCTGTCTGTCTGTCCTCCATCAGACAGCGGCTCATGGCAGCAGACGGACTGATGAGGGTCAGATCATCCACACACAGCTGAAGATAAACCCTGCAAACACACACACACACACACACCTGTATAAAGATCTGTCAGGTTCCTTTAACAGAAGTTCCCCCCCCCCCCCCCACCACCCACGCGCACCTGCTCGTGGGT